TCTGATATTTTATATTACAGTGCGAAAATAGTCGAAATCAGACTAAAATAACGCCTTCTTGCCATATAACACAATTTTAAATTCCAGCTGATTATTTCACTTTCCAATATACAAATCAAGCACCAGTTCAGTCAGCTCTACTAGTTTACCTTTTTTTTCGAAACAGAAAAATTTGGGTAGTATTTAACTTCCAAAAAAAACACCGCCATTTTGTCAGTTTTTGTTTTTTTTTTTTTCAACCGTAGGTTATTGTACGACCAATATCTTATAGTTGATAATGTTTTTTAGGCTTTATTAATTAAGAGAGCAGGAATCACTGCCAGTTTGGGCGCGCTTTATTAACGACTTCGAAAAGAAAAATAACAAATTCTAGGCGTAATATTATTTATGAAATTAATTATTATTAACAAATACTTTATCAATTAATTTCGATAATTTAAAATAATGAAAGTAATAAAAGTAAGATGTAATTCTTCGTTGTTTTTTTGTAAATTAAATAAATTTCTTATAAAATATTCCTTCTTCACATTTAATAATTGCAGTTTCGTTCTTTAGCACACTATTGCCTTAATTTATAAGAGCCTCCATCCTAAAACGAAAGCCAAAGCAATGTCTGGTGTAAAAGGAATATGGGTTTTTGTGCCAGCATCAAAACTTTTAATTATATTTAAAGCTATTGCAGATTCTGAGTTCGACATTGAAACAAATTGCAAAGCATTCCTTCTCTTAAAAATATGGCTCCATTTCGCTCAAGATCTTGTTAAACGCGTTCGGAAAAGCTATTCCCACTCACCACTCCATTAGTAGGAGTAAAAATATATTTAAGTTATTTCAAAACCACTATTTAAAAGCAATAAACAAAGTTTTCAACCAATGAAGTTAAAAAATCGAATAAATATATGGATATAAAGTTTGGTAAGAATAAACGATTGACTAAAAGAATAAGACTCAACAACTGAACTAACTCTAATCGGATTTACCATCTGGTGATCGGACTGGTCAACTTAACCTGCACTCACGATTTAAATTAAATTAAATTATTTTGTATTTAGCAGCTGTTCGTAAAGTTTATCTGGCGATTTTTACCATGAAAAAGAAAAACGCGTTAGCTTCAAATTCTGTGTTTTCAATGGAATGATCGCTACGGAAAAGTTGAAACTATTTAAAAAATGCGTTGGCAGTCAACTTTTTCACGAACACAAGTATTTGAGTGGCATAAAACATTGGTTACGGCGTGAAGTCATCGTTAAAGAAATAGTGCTTTAAAAAGAGATAGCAGAGAACATCAACATCTCTTACGGACCGACTTAACACTTTTTGATTATTGTTTTAGGTATGAGGCGTGTCTATGCTAAACTCATACCAAAAGACCTGTATCTTTAGCGAAAACGACGTCGAGTAGAGGTCGCAAAACTGATGCTTGACAAGGACGACCCTACACTCGTCAAACATTACGTTACTGGTGACGATACGTGACTTTATGAATATGACATCGAAACTTTCCAACACTCCCATCCATCAAAATTGCTTCCAATTTCTAAAACATTTCGTATATTTTTTCGGTCATGTCAGTTAAATTATAAATATGTATTATACTACTCCATTGCTTAATACCAAGAATAGTACACATTTGTGAATGTTTGTATATAAAAAAAGATCTACATGTAATTTTCTTAAATTGTCTTTTTAATGCGATTAAATCACTGAACCGGGTAATACTTGTACGTATGTACAAACGAAGCTACACATGTTGTCGCACCCCCTTGATTATTATCAACCAATGTGTCATCACATATCAACATCATTGAACAGCAAGCAAAACATGTGGCAAGTAACGACGCTAATAATGTTTTGTGCACCTACAAGTACGAACAATTTGGTTTTTGTAAATACGATCAAACAAACTAAGTAATATGCTTGTAAATACAGTTATACTTGTATATGTGTATGGAAACGTTGACGCTGTGAGCGATATCGTCGCAATTGAATAAATACCCACAATGCAGCGATGACAACGATCGCTACCGCATTTGTCGCATGCCACACTCCGGTGGCACCACATAGCACTGGTAATAAAACAAAAACAGATAACTCCGAGCAAAAATTAACAAATTACAAAAAATGTGTGCATGTAAGTATGTAACATATAAAACTATTGCGTAAGCCGAAATTAGACATGCTCTTTAAAACCTCACGGGAACTTCGTATTAAGAACTGTGATTTGGCTACCTCGACGAGAAAGACTCATTTGAAAATGATTCAATTATATTGCGAGATCAAAGCAAAAGAACCTTCGAAAAAAAGTTTGTCAATCATATGAATTCGTTGTGCTTGAAGAGCATATTTCTATACTTTTGCAACATATTGCTACAGAGTATAATAGTTTTGTTCATTTAACGTTTGTTTGTATCACCTAAAAACTAGTCGCGATAGATATAGGGTTATATATAAATGATCAGGATGACCACACGAGTTGAAATGCGGGTGACTGTCTGTCCCTCCGTCTGTCCGGGCAAGAGATATCTTGAGTAAAAATTTAGATATCTGGATGAAACTTGGTACACATGTTCCTGGAACCCAACGAGATATTGCAAATAGTCGTAATCGGACTATCGCCACGCCCACAAAACGCCATTAAAAAAAACTTATAAAGTGCCATAACTCAGCTCCACAATAAGATACAAGGCGGTTATTTTGTACAGTGGATTGCATTACGAAGGGACATCTGTAGTTAAAAAATTTATGAAAAAGTGGGCGTGGCCCCGCTCTCAAATAGGTTTAATCGACATATCTCCTAAAACTCTAAAGCTATAATGTCCAAATTCACACAGGACAATTTTTTTAACATCTTTACCGACAGTGTAAAAGGGTGAAATTGTATAATAACCCCGCCCACTTCCCATATAACGGTTGTGTTAAAAACTACGAAAAGGACAATAAATCTATAAATAAATGCGCCAGAGACATAAAATTGTATACCCTACATGGTACAAAAAGCGCTACCTTGTGATCAATAATTGGAATCCAAATCGGACCAAAACTATTCAAGCTTCCATATACAGAATATCTGCATGACTGTTCCTATCGCGAATTTTTTATCGAAAAATAGGTTAAATGGGGCAATATTTCCCTTGACACATGCTCGAGCTGACTTTATACCCCATATATCGGCCAATATGTGAGTTATCTTAATTAAATTGAGAGAGCGTTTTTTTCTAATACTGGATCATCTTTGTGCCTAAAATGGGATGAAAACTTGCCCTTCATCCCAAATACTAACAAACATTATGCACCTGGAGCTATTTCCTTGGCTTTCATCTTGGCAAGTTGCAAGAGTATGAAATGTTCTGCCCATATATTCGGTTTTTCAAATTAAAAGTACAACAAAGGTTAGACAGAATACACATTTTCAGAAGTGCGACTTCCACCCACCACCGAATAGCATCTAAAGTCTCAAGACAGATCCCTATAGTCGAAACCACGCTCAAAAGGACAGGCTCGATTTCCATGCTCGTTTGTGCCTCCCCTCCCTTCTCATCTGTCACACTACGTAAGCCTGCAAGTCATCTACTTTGGCGTTCGGTTTGGAGGATCCTTAGAACCACTCTCACGAAGCCATAGCATATGACCCCTTAGTGTCGCTGGGAGGACTGAGAGACTTCTTAACTGGAGTATCAGCGTTTGTCGATTAATTTAATTTTACATTAAATCAAATAGCATAAAATATTAAAGCTCTCTTAATTTGGCTACTAGAATTCAATTTCACCCTGGAAAGGGTATATTAAGCTTGCCACGAAGTTTTAACGCCCAAAAGGAAACGTACTGAAACACGTGACGAACAGAAGCGAATTACCCATGTGCGCCTATCTCTTTGTCTGTCTGTCTGTATATATACGAACTTTACTCTCAGTTTTTGAGATATCGATCTGAAGCTTTGCACACGTCCTTTTCTCCACAAAGCCGCTCATCTGTTGGAACTGCCGATGTCTGACCACAACTGAGCATCGGTATAATCTCCAAAGAAATTGTTCAGATCGGACCACTATAGCTTATAACTGACTGATCCAAATCAAGTTAACGTTTTTTCCTGATTTTATATGCATTCTGTTAAATACTTTACATATTATTTAATTTGTACTACAAAGTTTATTGACTTTAAGGTTAGTACAAGACTAGAAACCTACCGTTCTAGTCAGACCAAAGGCATCAACTGGCCTCTTTTAACAATTTTATTTCACGTCACTGTACGCTAACTCGCATGCAATTCTCAAATAATTAATTAAAAAGCGCATATAAATGCTAATAGCTCATATAATGCCCTTTAGAATCGTTAGCTAATACTCCCCTCTACGCTGCCAGCCGCAATACTCAACTACGCCAGCATTAAGTGACTGGACATGAGCGTGAAATTCGCAAGGCAAAATGAAAAGTACACAAACACAAATAATACATGTGTGTGTGTATATATTTAGTTGAAATTATGTTAAAAATGTATTTACCTCCATCTACCTGCTCTCATAAACCTTAGACTCTAATCATTGTATGAGCGAGATAATTGACACAATTGGATGCTGAGCTCAGCTAGTTAGCAGGGCTCGAGTATCCAATACCAATTAGAATGTGCATACCTAGGTTCCATTTCCTCACTGGAGAGGAGTACTTATACGCCAGAGAGCGCGAGCAGGGAGGCCGCATGATCAAGCCTGTGCCCGCCGGATGCCACTCAAAGGCATGCTCACCCACACCCCCTCACAGGTAAATAAACAAATAAATTTTAATACACATATATATGGATTATGTTTAAATATTGTTAGCGCCGTTAAAAGTGAGCGCGATTTGCGGCCAACGAAAGTGAGTGTGCGCTGAGCGTTTGGCTCCAAGCTTGTGCGAGTGTCCGTTTGTTGGTTGAGCTGAGTGTTTGGCGCAAGTATTTGATTTGAATTAAATTGTCAACTTGAAAAATTGTGTTTTTGTATTTACAATTTTATTTGCGAGCCAAAAGCGCAACGTTTAACAAGCTTAACTGGCGCAGCGCGCGTTCGTCGCGATAAAGTTTATGTAATTGAAAATTGTTAAAGTTTAGCTGCAAAGTTTTTATAAAATCCAAAGACTGCAAATGCGATAGCTAAAAGCGAAATGATAACTAATTGCGATTGCATAATTATCAATATTTAATCGGTGCGAAGTGAGCTAATTAAGAAAAGTGTGCGTGCAACGGCCAAGAATTGTGTTAAAGAGTATATTTTTTTAAAAAAGTTTTAAAACTACTGAGGTGTAAAAAATATAAATAAACGCAAAAAAATATTTGTTTTCAGTGTAAACCCATTAAATTATGAGTTCATTTAAAATCGAAAATTAACGGAAAAAAATTATATCACAAAAAATAATTAAAAAATTAAAAAAAAGTATTTTAAATAAAAACAAACTTGAAAATATAGAGATACCAAAATGTGTAAATAATAGTGACCAAATTATTTTGAAATCTTTCAAAATTATTATTTTATATAACCAAAAAATTGTTTTATGCATATGAATGAAAAAAATATGTTTTAAAAATCGTAATTGAATAACTCTAATCATAAGATAACTGAGTGTCCAAATTCTGAAAAATAATAAAAATTAAATTAAATTAGCGAATATTATGAGTCTTAAAATACAAAAAGTATAGTTGTAATATATGTATACGATTTTATGTCCTAAAAAGTCATACCAAATTTAAAATTAAAAAATTAGAACAGAAACATTTAAAAGTTAGTTTGGTTTTGGTAGATGCTTAAGGTTTTGGAAGTCAAAAAACAAAACAAATTTTAAGTTTTAAATTATTCCAAAAAATTCTTTTTCTGCAATAAATTAAAATTTTTTAGGCGCAATATTTATTATCACTTTTTTTATTGAAGCAATAATGTTTACTGAATAATATTGACAAATTTAAAAATTAAAAATACATGAATAATTACTACTAAATTTTTATACTTTTGCAACATGTTCATTCAAAGTATAATAATTTTCTTCACCCAACGGTTGTTTGTATCACCTACAACTAACCGAGATAGATATAGAGTTATATACTTGTATATAGTACATGTGTATATAAATGATCGGAATGATAAGACGAGTTGAATTCTGTGTGACTGTCAGTCCGTCCGTCTGTTATAACCTTTGCAAGCGATAATTAGAATAAATATTAAGATATCTTTATGAAAAGTGTTAACGTTCCGTAAACGTATTTTAGATGGGTTGAATCGGACCACTGCCACGCCCACAAAATGCCCGTAATTGAAAACCCAAAAAACGCAATAAGTAAGGTATAATCTTTATAAACTTTAGTTTAAGATAACTTGCATTTTTTAATGATTTTTTGAGAATATTTTATTTGAAAAAAATAAAATTCAATTAATTTCATTTTGTTTTTTCTTTTCTTTTTTTGAAATTTGTTGTTTCTTAGCACTGAAGTGAGCGTCTCAGAATTAGCCCCGGTGATTTGGTCGCTTGAGGACATCTCAAATAGAAAAATCAAAAATATTATTATATACTGTGAGCTTGTCATTCTGAAAGGATTAAACAATTTCGTTAAAAATAATAAAATGGTTGAAAAAGTGACATTTTTTAAGTAGAAATCGGGCTGTAAAATGAAATGTTAGCGATAAAAAAAATTTCCCAAATGATGAGAAAATTTTCAAAAACAGTTTAAAAACGTTATGTAATAACAGCGCCTTCTACTACGAGACGCTCGCTTATAGGCGCTATAACTTTTAAGTTATTGATTTATCACACTTTTAGTAGTTTTAAACAAAACCGGTATAGGGGGAGTGGGCGGGGCTATTATCCCATTACCCCTACTTTCAGACTATTGTAAGAAGGGCTGACAATGTTTGTAGAATGTAAAATTGTTATAGCTTAATTGGTTTGGACATATATACATTAAACTAATTGGGGGTGGCACCACGCTCTTATTTTCCAGATTTTCAAACCACAAGTCCACCAACCACAAGATTTTCAAACAACCTCCTTAATTAGATTCGTTGTGCCAAATTTGAGTTATGCATCTTAATTTACGGCTTAGTTATAGCACTATATACGTTTTCGATTAATGGCGTATTGTGGGTGTGGCAATGGTCCGATATCGCCCATCTACGAACTCGAAACGCTTACCAAGTTTCATTAAGATATCTAAAGTTTTACTCAAGTTACAGTTTGCACAAACAACTCGTCTCGTCATCCTGATCATTTATATATAACCCTATATCTATCTGGATTAGTTTTAGGTGATACAAACAACCGTTAGGTGAATAAAACTATTATACTCTGCAACAACTTGTTGCAAGTGTATAATGAATAAACTATAGAAATTAATAATAAAATAAATGTCTGCATATGTTATTTTATATGCAGGATTCGCACACCCATAATGTTTTTTGAATGTAATACTTTTGTCTTTATCTTAAATCAATCAGAATTTTAAATATCAGTTAAAATAACAATGCAATCTCGATTACATTATAATTGCATAACGGCATATTTATTCAATTCTCAAGAGTATAATCATACGATTTTAGTTAAAAGCTAATTGCTTGTGGAATTTATTTAAAGTGCTTGTGAAATCACGGTAAATTCGAGCCGACGCAAACACCCACAAAATTTTATATGGCAAACAGATATACATTAATATATAAATGGCATAGATATATGTATATAATTGTTGCAAATAGAATATTTGTTATCATATAAACAACAACAAAAAAGGCCTAAATGTACCAACAAATATCGAGTGCATGTAACAACGACACACATGAAAACAACAGCACATATATACATTTGTATTAATATAAATGTACAGAGTAAACATTTATCTACAATATTACATATTTACACACGTGACTGCCATTTTACGAATCCAAAGTGCTAATTGTGCCAAATTTACAAATATAATACAAATCTACATATATACATATTTACATGAAAATATATAAATATAAATATTTAACCCATTAACGGTTGATTGTGCACCATTTAGCAAATACAATTCTTACCGTAAATTCTATTGTAATTCTAAACTTATTGCATACGAGTGTGTATGTGCGTTAGTTTTGTCAAATTGTGAATTCTCACACACACTAGCTAACATTTATTTGAGTTTATGTTGGTGTATGCATGAGCTCTGTGTTTGCAAATCATTATTGGTATCATCATTTAGTTTTGAATGTCGACTGCGTTTGTACAACTTTTAATCAATAAGTGTTCAGTGTTGAAATTGAAGGCAGAAATTCATGCACGAGCACACAAATACATACAATCACATAGTGCAATATAGTATATGTGCAGCTCAAACGACCGTAATCACCAAAATGCCAAAGTCATCGATGCCACTAGCAGCACAGCAGCGTCTGTCCACATTGATACAGCGACAGCCTTTCAAAGGCTTACTCGCCACAGTGTTGCTGCTTTGCTACCTGCAATTGTTGCACATCAACTGCCGTAAGTTATATTTGATTTTATTCGAAATTTTCGGTAATTATGCATTTGGTTGACCATTTATTTAAAAGTGTTAGTTATTAGTCAAATACAAACTGGAATTTGCAATCGAGCAGAAAATTATACACAATGGCAACTAAATTAAATAATGACATGATCTAAATATATAATCGAGAAAAGCAAGGACTGTGTTCGTGAGAGATGAAACATATATATATTGATATGTATGCGAAGATTGTAGTATTAAAATTTGCCTTCGGGGTTCAGTGATCGTTATTCGGCGTATTGTTGGCCGCCGATACTTATTTTTGATAACAGCTTACCCTAGTATGCCAAATACTGCATACATACTTACAGAATTTATTGTTGAAAGCATCTACTTTAAGATCATCAGGACTAACAGAAGTTAGAATATACAAGGTGTGTTCAAAAATATTCATTTATTCGTCTACATTATTGTTGTCGCCTTCAAAATAGTCCCCATTCGATATTATGCACTTATACCAGCGCTTATTTCAATTTTTGAAAATAGAAAAAAGTCACACGGAACCATGTCTGGCGAGTATGGAGTCTTTGGCACAGTATTTTGTATTGTTTTTGGCCAAGAATTCACGAAAAAATTCTTTGATCTATTTCTTTTAACAAACGAAAATTATCAAGCTCATAAAAATAAGTCCAACTTTAGCGGCTGCTACAGACAAAGCAATGAATAGAGCTGACAATTTTAACGTACTTCAGGGGCATGCATATTAACATCATAAACAAAATTTTGACAATTGGACTCTCCACACCTGCGAATTTTTATATTTTAAAATTCCCAACGGTTTCTATACACACCTGTTACCATATGATCAAATTTGACTCGGACTACACTTAACTGCCCACGCAAACCAAATTAATAAACAAAAATTACCTAGATTGGTACAACTCTTTTTATGTTTGTGTGAAGTTTGATCTCCATACGCCAATTATTGTGTGTTTCACAGCTGTTTGTTTACGACGCGAAAAGTTTGTCTGGCAATTGTTACCATGGAAAAAATTCAACTACGAGTTTACATGAAACTTTGTGCTTCCAATGGAATCTACTACTTCACTTACTTAACTACGAACACAAGTATTTGAGTGGCACAAAGCATTCATAGAAGGTCGCCAGTCATCAAAAATTTCCCTATTGCCGTCCATCCACCTCTGTTAACAACGATAACACCGAAAAAGTTAATGAAACAATGCTTAAAAATTGTCGCGTTGACTTCAGAGAAACAGCGAGGAATACAATATCTCTGATGCATCGACTCAACACATTTTAGTATGTATCCTAACGGTTAAGGTTAAACAAATACTGCGTATTGACTATCAAGAAAAATTGGTATTCCTTCCACGTACAATTGCGAAATATTCAAAGAGCATCAAAGTAGAAAACTTTATGTTAAAGAAACCATTAAAATAGTAACAGCAAGTCTAGATACTATTATCAACAAGCAGTTCACCAACAACATTGCAAAGTTTCCATGACCGCAGTCACAACAGTTCAGCTAAAAATTCATTCATTCTCTATTTTACTAACAACACCCCTAGATTCAAATAATCTAGACATTCGTTAAGATTGGTTTTCACAATTATAAAGTATGAAAATTTTGTGCAATTTAAATGAAAATTTCTTTAGACACGATAGTAGAATAGAGAAAATATATGGCGAAAGAAATTTAATCTACTTTGAATTTTTGAACTTTTTTAAAAAGTTAACACGATAAAGAAGCGCATAAGTGCTTACGTCTAAAAATATTTCAAAAAGATTGCCATCTGTTTGAAATTTTATTCAATATAAATATATTGATAACATAAATAAAATATTAGAATATTGACATTAAAATAGACAAGTTTAAAATATATACAATTCGCAGATATTTATGAGCCCGGTTGCCACATGTTTGAAACTTTAATTCATTTTCGAACTACATAAATTTGAAAAAATATTATTTTTGAAGCTTTTTATAGAGAAGTTTCCATCTGTTTGAAATTTTTTGATTTCAAAAACAAAAAAATTACGTTGCCTGGACGAATGGTAAGACCACTTTTGAAATGTTATAATATCTTAGGGCACATCCTTGATCAAGTCATTTGAAATGATTATTCGAAATGGGATTTTTATTGTTGATTTTCCATATAATTTTGATCAACGAATATGATCATTCTAGCATTTATTTTAGACTTCTGTCCCTTTGTAGCCAAATGAGACATTGTTACTACGTTTTTCAGGTAAATGTATTAGAGATCATGATCCAAAAGTATTCATTTATTCATTATTCGTTAGTTAAAATTTGACATGGCATTACAACCGCTGGATTATATATCCCCCTATATATCTAATATATTATTCTACCGGAAACTTTCATTTTTTTTTTTGGTACCTAAAGTAAATAGCAACCGATTCTATTTAGCAGCCGGAAATAAAAATTTTGAAATGCAATTTAATATTTGAGGTAAGAAAGTATTGGTGGAACCGAATTAACTTTCTTTGTTCTTTTATAGTTTATAGAAAAACAACAATACTATGGAAACTGTTTCAATGAGAGTTCTGGGCACAAGACTTGCCATCAATCATTTTATTTATTTTCTGTCTAAAGTTTAAATTTAATTTACACACACACACACAAATAAATATGAACTACACATGCTTAATTAAAGCAAAATGTATTTTTAACTGCTTAGTTAGATCTACAATACATACCTAGATCTACAAATAGAATTTGTTGTGAGTTCAAAAAACATATCTTCGTTTAGATATTCGCTTGCTCTTATCTAATTGTCTACAACTAATTTATTTGCATGCATACTCCACACAGTAAAATTGCTTTATTTCTACAACAAAAAGTTAAAAAGTTTTAAACTGTGTAATGATATTCTATGAGTTAGTATGTAGCTTTTGATATGTACGCTGTGACTTCAAGGCCAGACCAATAAAAAATGTTTTATGATAAAAACTATATTGAGTACCTTAAATGATGATAGATTTAATAGCAAGGTATAGAGAGAAAATGTTCTGATTTTTTGAGGGTATAAAGCTGACTAATTGAAGTTACTCAAGTAACAACAGAACTGCCGGGCGTATGAGTGTTCTAATTTCCTTCTCCCCTTATTTTCATTGGGTTATATATATAGCTTTATATTAAATGTTTTGATACCATATATGATATAGAATAGAGTTAGAAGCTAAGAGAAAACTTTATTTTTTTTAAATTACTCGTGCGCCCTACCCTCTTTCTCTGATTTTTCAAGTACTTTCGTGCGCTACATAAGCCGATCAAAAATAAGGTAACTCAAATTTCCAACTAATATAAGCTTGTTTGGACTGAAATTCCGAAGCAATGAAATAACTCAACCGAACCAAAGTCAGTCATAAATTTTATCAAGGTTAAACTATCAAGTTTGACAGATGTCAAAAAAATTAGTTGCTTTCCTATTTCTCGTTTAGCAAGCGCATTGCATGTATTTTAAAACTTCGAGAACTGGCGGAGGATCATTTTCTTTCTCTTCATCCTCATCAGCACCAGAGATAAAATCATCATCCTCCAAAATATCATCAATAATAAACATACATAGGTTTTCAACTGCTTTTCAGAGATGCCAACTGCTGCTTATCACAAATGCTGCGAAACATATATGTGCGGCAATGTCAAATTATTTTTTTAACGAAAGTTTTTTGTGCAATTGACCGGGGGAAATTAAAGGGATTTTTTTTCAATATACACATTTTTAACCAATTAACCGGGTTCAATTACATGGGAAAATGTCCATGTAATCACCGATCAAGCGATTTAAATAAGCGGGAAAATCAATTAACCGGGGGACAATTAAGCGGGAGGACTTAAAAAGACTGTGGTGGTACAAAAAATTAATTGAATATTTCAGACGATCAACCCATTGATCAAAAACTAGGCAACACCGGGATTAGCAGTGCGATTAAGCTAAAAATCTGCCAGATCTATCTTGGGATCTTACTTATCCTCTCTGCTTATGGTTCAATCCCCACTCATTCTCGGGCGATTCATTTGAAAGTTGGACAGCAGTGAATCAAACAAACTATACCAAATGTTCAAACAAATTTTTGTTACGCTTCTTTCTTTGATGAGGAAATTCTTATTTCAGCTTAGTTTTGATCCTTACATTTTTTGTAAACAACTCATACTTAATTTAATTCCTAAGTTGTAAAAGGAAATACAATTTTTGTTTGTTTAGTTTTGAGAATAATTTGACGATATTTGATAAACGTTGACCGGGTGTTCGCTTCGAATTGGAAACGAAAAAAGGGCCGGCCGCTTAACATGTCGATAGTTTCGTTGATGGTTGGTGGGGTGATCGCCAGGTGTGTTGGGTTATCCTGGATGGTGGTGTCGTTGTGTGAGGTGAATGTTGCGTGTCGGTGATGTGTGATGTAGATTGTGTTGTTTGATGTGGGAGGTGTGTTGGTGTGTATGGTTTTCGGGGCAACGTATGCTCATTTAGCCATTGAAGATGGCGGTTATACTACCTTAGCTAGATGTCCGCATACTTTCTTGTATCAATTAAACTTGATAACTTCGTTGTGGCTTTTATAATACATATAAATTGTTTGACAAGTGAGCAGTGAGCAAAGATATCGAGCTGAGAAAGGGTGAATCGAAGGCAGCTAATAATCAAAGAAACATATTCCTTCGGGCTTAAGAGCACTATTAAATGAACTTCGGTCCGGCAAATGCGACCTAATCTAGTTATCGCAAAGAGTGTACCTTGGTCATAGCTTAAACCTTTTCGTGAGAAATCATCCATATTATCTTTCCACCAACAAAGTGTTTCCTATATTTTTTAATTATTGAACAGCAGAATCAGTAAAGTGAAGACCTCAACCGTGCTGTTCAGAAAAGGCGTCAACAAAATATCAGATATTTATGACTGGAGTCAATATGTAGCTAATGTACTCCTAAACATCTCAGCCTGCTGGCTACTCTAACAAGATTATTTATTAGCTTCTGATATAGTTTTTTCCAATTGACTCAAATTTATACATAGCCATTGATTAACTATTATGGTGACAATGAACTTCGCCTTAACAACACTCTCCCTGTCTCTTTTCAGATGCCCTACTACTCAAGTGTCCACTTTTTCAAATGCGCCTACAGAAAATTGTTGGCTTCCGGCCGCCACTGGAATATTTAACCGAACAAAATCTCATTTACTCGCCGGCGTATAATTTTAAGGATCGCAATCGCTACAGACGCGAAAGTTACAGTGTTGTAGGTGCGACAGATGGTCAAAGTCACGAACTGGCGATAGCCTTCGAAACCGCGAGCGCCATTTGTTGGCGCTTATGTAATGAGGACAGCGATTGTATTGCCTATGTCCATCTGCTGGACACAAACGAATGCTATGGCTATTCGTACTTTGAGCGTCAGCCACGCTATCAAGCGATAGCCAATGAACTGCCGTTGGTAGCGGATGCTGAAGCGGTTTTCTATGAGAAATCCTGTTTGAAGGGTGAGTGACGAATGACATGGAAAAAACGAAGTGAAGCTAATATCATTTATTAACTTGGAAATTGCTAAACCGCTATTTGCATTTGCTTGTTGATGTTTCTGCTTATTTACCACTTCCTTTGACTTTTGTAGTGCCCGAGGTGTGCAAACAACGCAAATGGACGCTGACGAAAATTCCCGGTACGAGTCTGGTGTTTCAGGGAAAGAAGACAATAGCAACGCTGGTCACGCGACGGGAATGCGCCGAAAGGTGTCTTTTTGAAAGTGAATTCAAATGTCTCTCTGCATCGTTTGCGCCATCCTACCGTAATAATCGTGAAAGGTGAGTCATTGTGAGGATGGTATGTGTGTATTTTTTGGTACGGAGTACGGGGGTAGTTTTATAAATTGTTGAAATTACATTACAAAGAAAATCCACTTCTTCGAACAATATTATATTTAATATCATATATTAGTTTCACTTGAAACCTCCTCATACAAATTGAATATTTACTATGGAGTTCGGTTGTGAGCTGGAAACTCAAACAATTCCAAATTTTATTTTCTTATTCGGAATTTTATTTCCGAAAAATGGAATGTTTATCGAAATTAAAATTGAGTAATATATCCTGGTAATTCCTTTACCTAATAATGTTTAGATGACAACGCAGATTCGAAAACCTTTCTGGAAGGAAATACTCACTTCGATCGTTTTAGTACTCATTCACTCTGAAAGAATCTGTCATATAAAAAATCGAGCCCTTAGAGGAAAGCTCTCGGTCCCAGAAAAGGTTAAAAGATTTTTATAAAATTTCACAGCCATTCGGAGACGATTGATAACTTGTTAAATCGTTTAGATATCATATAGATGTTAACCATAAGTAAAATATTACCCCAAATCTCTGTTAAGATTTCGACAGCCACAACTTATTCATACCAAATGCCCGCTACCACAATAGTTGAGTCTATGTAACCGAAAACTACCAGGTATATGTTCAACAAAGAATTGTCATCTCACAATAATTCCTTAAAACTGTTTTAGTTACTTTTTATGTTTTTACAACAACAGGAACATTCACACCAACTGTAATTCTCCAAAGTTCCAAACGCATTCTATAGATGTTATGGGGTTTCTCTGCTGATAAATCTTTTACTGGCGCTACTAAACCCAAACCAAAACCCAAAGTTCATAAATCGAGAATGTAACTCGTCAAAATACGAGTATTTCCCCATTCATATTAATTTCCTCCGAAAACCATGAGCTTTTAAATAAATATCTGATTTATCACACGGTACTCGTATATATGTACAGGGGCGGTGGAAGGTGCGTAAATTCCAGCGAAACCGACACAATACAAAAAGAAATTCCAAATGGGAGTTCTATGGCTTTATCGACTATATATTTGATGATGAAAATGGAAAATCATACACAGCATTGTTGTTGTTGGTCAGGTATGAGCTCATTGCAATCACAATTAGTTAGCTGTTTAGCGGTTATTTAATACTGCTTGAATTTTTATATGCGACGTGAATTCGATGCAGTAACTCATTTAAGCCCGCTATTTGTTCACTCGTATATGTTTTGCTAAGCTTCACTGATTTTATTTTAATAATAATTATTTGCGAATATTTGCTCATCTTCAATTCAAATGTGATTTGCATTTTACTATTTGTAAATTAATAAATTGTTTAATTATACGAATTGTAGGCAAGTTCGAGACTATTTATGTACTTGAGAAATATATATATACTATATATACATTTATAGGTACCTATTTGATATACATATGTTAATCAGACGAAATCGCGTTTCACGAATCACACAATTGCCAAGGTCACATTTATTTACCTACCTCCCATCGCCCACACAGATTCACGAAAACGATTTTGTGCGATCAGCAAGTGATGTCTCTGTTTGTTTCAACTAACTAATTTTTATGGAAACAGCAGATTGACGATCGAGGTATAAGTGATCGATACCAAAATTATTTCAGAGCACTGCTGTTCTAACAGAACGCCAAGCTGCAGCGTCTACATCTAGTTTGTACACATACAGGAAAGACAAGGAAAGTGGGTTGCTGATGTTTCTGATTTTAACAGGTTTTGTGACAATTTGTCCTCGATAATGATTAGGGTGAAAATTCAAGTATTGTTAAGGATCACATCATAAATACTTTCTATTACGAGGAATTTTTTAATATAGAAGCTTAAAAAGTGTTAAAAAAGTTCTATTAACATATACTGTTAAACCTCCGGATTGCATTCATTGTTTGAGTGGACTAGTTGCCTAGCTTAAGCAAGACTGAGAGGTTTTTTTACTACAGAACTCTTATTATGTAGTAAATATTTAAAAGACAACGTAAGTTTACAGTCAAGACTCAAGAAGTTAGTTGGATAGAGCTTAGAAACATATTATTTCAGGAGAGTCAGTCTGTAGTGTCGTATTATAAATAAGAATTAGAGTTTTCAGAATTCACATAAACAACCAGAAATGACAATTATCTGATAGTCTTACGGTACTATTGTAGTTGTAGTGGAAGAAAAAATGTCCCAATTCATTAATAATTAAATAATATTGAGAAATGCTTTTGATTTTACTGTATTTGGCCAAATAGAATCCAGACCCGTTCAGTTACGTAGACTGTCATGGAACCATACATAAATTATGAAGAATATTAAATCATAATATGGTTGGTAGAAAATTTAAATCGAACGCAAGAATGTCAAATGTGAATGTGAAACTTCGGACAAAGTTGTCTTCATTATGAAAAGCATGGTTCTCAAACAATTATCGGGTCAAGAAAGTAATATTTCTTAAGTTATGATGTAAAATTATGATATATGTCATTTATGTTCAAGTATATGATGTTTATGTAAAATATACTGAGAAATTCGCAGTTTTGAACAAAGAATTTATGGTTTTTGATCCCAATTATTGGTCGAAACGATATTTCACTCACACTTCAATTATAATCGCTAAACTCGGCACAGTGAAATTGGTTTATGTATTGCGATAAAATAATGTAACACAAAGGGTCAAGTTTAGTTCTTTACCACCATAGACTTTAACTTTCATTTAAATCTCCCAGAAGCAGCTTTTATCTCTGAATATCAGACAGAAACTCAGCTGAGGTACATCGTAACCAAAGTCAAAATGTTTATATCTATAAATCAGCGATGAATATTAATTGATATCCAGACTCTCCGCATGATCACACAATATAGAGATGTATCTGGATATTCGAATATAAAGGTAGTACTAGTCTAATTTTGGTGGGAGCGTATAGTCCAGATTACACAATAAATATATTGTTGTTGTAGCAGCAAAAAATATACCCCAAATAATTTGAAGAATCCTGCTGAGTTGTTAGTTTTTGTCGGTTAAATATTCGAATCCGTTCCGGTTGTGCGCACCCGACTGTCGTGGGAATAATAGTGGTATAACCACAAGTGATCTGTGCTGATGATCTGACTATTATGCGATGAGTTGTTAGTTCAAACTTTGGTGCTAGAAAAATCAAATATTATAGAAGGTGTTTGCTAATTGTAGTCATAAACGGCTTTTTCAAAGAGTACCGTCAGCAGTCATTCACACCATAAATCAATTGTGATAGCTTTCAGGCCAAGTTTCAAGACCATAAGAACTGAGTTAATAATTTATTTTTAACCAAACCAACTTGAGAATTTGGTAAAAAACAATCCAATTTTTTAAGTATATGCAGAGTAAACATTCACGAAAGTTTATAGTTTTGGTAGGTTATGTTAGTTAGTAATAGAATTCTGCCGGTTTAGGTTAGGATAGGTTAAAAGGTCTATCCAAAAACGGATCCCACTTTAACAGTTGAGAGCAACGGTCCACTGGAATGCATAACTATTCTTAAGTATTGATCGAAAAAACTTTGAAAAGGCAACAAAGCGCTTTGAGTCTGTCACAAATTTGTTCACCACCATATTACCTCTTACCTTCCTTCATAATATTTTTAATATCTTAAAATCCATACGGCTAGCTAAAAGGGTTAAAAAATATCCCACTCCACAAATGTAATCGTAAATAAGGTTAAGCATTAAAAAATACAAAGAACTATTGTTAAACAACATAATCCAAACATTGGTGCTTACATTCAAACATACACACACGCACATACATTTGTATGCTATTTATTACACAGATGCCACAAATCATGTTAACCGCAATTACTTTTTTAAATTTCTAATTTTTTATTTAAACAGATTCAGTCAACATGTACCACCTGAGCAACATGCGAGTAACAGTCTAAAACAACAACAACCCCAACAACAATTGCAACAGAATACATTAGGCCGTTGCATACTGAGTGATAAAGATAAAATGATACAACCCGATGCTTTCCGGGCTGCACCCTATGATGAAGAATACATGGAAAATCAATGTTACGAACGACCGATCGAGAACGATAACTGTTCATACGAATTGTATGCGAACAGTAGCTTCATCTATGCGGAAGCAAAGTATTTGGGTTTAACCCAAAAAGAGGTGTGTTATTTTGTTAAGCAGAGTATTGATTTTCGAAAAAAACGTTGAGATTCAGTTGTAAAAAGTGGAGAAATTCGTGCATTGATTGATGATGATACAATCGATTGGAAATTGTTTGGGAACTCAGTGTAAATTAATGGGTACATGTGTACATATAGGTATATGTATATACATAATAGATACAAACATATATCATGTTACAAACGATGTTTCAGTTAGATGCACTAAACTGATAAAATATATATGTAAAATACTTTATCTATGCTTGACAATTAATATGACTGGGTACGTTGACTTAAAAAATAAGTACAAATTGAGATACATATTTACTAGTATTATTCTGATATGGCAACACCGAATTTGCATGCCTAAAAATTTACAACAATAATACAATTCCTGATTACACAATCATCAGCAGTAGCAACTTCGGTATTTACAGGATTAGACCTTAAATTCAAGAATTTTTATGCCCTTAGAAGTTATTTCACAGAGAGTGTAATCGTAAGAATTTCCTTTTTTCGGTCAGTTTGTATGGCAGCTAGGTATATGCAAAAATAACTCGATCTAAGTAATTTCTTCGGAGATTGCACCCTTGCCATGCCATATGTGGTGAAGATATCTCGTTATCACTTGATTCCGATCGTTTAGTTTGGCAACTACATACATATATGTTATATTGATCCGATCTGAACAATTTCTTTGGAGATTGCATCATAACCTTGAACAATAACCCATGTTAACTTTCTTGAAGATATTTTTTCAACTCTAAAAGCTTTCTACACAAGCACCCGATATCGATATGCATCCTTTTGGGTAAAAAAGAACGTGTGCAAAATTTCAGTAAATAAATCTCAAAAATTGAGGGACTAGTCAAGACGATACGCAAATTCAAGCTCTCCGGTAGCTACTGTAAGAACTCTTTGTGCAAAACTCGGTCTTCTCAAATGAGCCTCATTTCTGGCTTAATGGCTTCGCCAACAAACAAAATTGTCGTTATTTGGATGAGTTATATCCTCGTGTGGTTCGGGAAATGTAATTTCATTACCAAAAATTAACCGTTTGATGCGGATTGTGATATAGTGCCATCATTGGAACTTATTTATTTCAAAATGAGGCAGGTAATGCCGTTATCATCAATAGCGAGCAATATAAGACAATGTTGACCGACTTTTTTTCCCCGTAACTCATGTAATACTGAAAGACTCCGTTCATATATTAAAGTTATCGATATATGATATCGTCTGACACATTGTCAAAAAATATGCTGGGGCTATACAAGTATTTCTCTTCCAACTTTTAACATCTGCTACAGCCTCCCTTTGACAATCAGTGGATAGTTTTGGGATCGACTGAGTTGATTTGCGTTAAGGTGGATCGGACGACACGATAAAATTAACTGAGGAATTTCTTTTTTATCACTTGACTTCGAAATAGTAAGGCTTGAGTCACTCAAAATGTTATATCTGAAGAGCGAGTTTTCAAAGAAATGTTAACTCTATGGTACATGTGTGATTTTTAAAGCATCTAATATTCGGTACTGCCTATTCCGAACCTCTTTTTTACATGTATACCCTGAACAGAGTATAATAAGTTTGCCACGAAGTGTGTAACACCCAGAAGGAAACATCGGACCCTTAATAAAATATATATATAAATAATCAGCGTGACGAACAGATTAATTTTACGCATATCCGTCTGTCTGTATATACGCGAACTAGTCCCTCAGTTTTTGACATATCGATCTGGAGTATTGCACACGTTCTTTTCTCCTCCATACAAACTGAACGACCAAACTTTTTTATTTGATTTTAGCTTCGGTGCAACCGAAGTTAACGTTTTTTCTTGTTTTTAATCAAAATTAAAAAATATGAACTAGTGATCTTTCTCATTTAAGTGCCAGGCATACTGTTCGCATGAGACGAAATTTTACTGCCAGGGTGTGTCATTCTACTTTGAACATGATCTAACCAATTCGGAATGTCTGCTGCACTCTGAGGACATAATCTCCATGGGGCCGCGCAGTTTGAAGTTGCGTGAGAAATCTGTCTACATGCGTCGCGTCAAATGCTTGGATGGTAACTCATAGAATAAACATTTTAAATACACAAATACATGTTATAACTCACCATCTCATCCGATTCCCTTTCCCCCACACAGTGCAGGTGCTGTGCACACAAGACGAAATGGCCATCAAGTACACGCCAAAAGATTGGTTTCACGGCAAAATGTATGTGAATATGCACTCGAAGCACTGTATGGCGCAGGGCAACGGCACCAAAAGCACCGTGTTACGCCTGCCGATCGGCACCGAGGTCAAAGAGAATCGCTGTGGCATATTGCGTGCCTACGAAGTCACCAAAGCATATCAGAGGTAAGTAAGCGTGTGTCCATATTCGCTTCATTCGCAATCATCGAAGCAAAGTAATAATTTGGTATTTTTGGATTGTTTGTCATTTTTTCTTTCTAAATTACCAATTACTACCAATTACTACTACTTACGGTGTATTGCAGAACCTTCATATCCGCTCTGGTTGTAATTCAAAATAATCCGAACGTGCAAACACAAGGCGACCGTCTCATTAAAGTCGGTTGCATAATGAGCAATTCAACGATGCGCGAAGATGGCCTTAAAAAGGATGACAACGATGAGGATGAGTTGGATGGCGAAGATGTACCGAATGCCATAGCATTGGAGTCGTCTTTGGAGTTTGCACAACAGTAAGTGGAAAATGTGTTGAGCAAAGCTTAGTTCTATGTTTTTCTAAAGCATTCTCAAGCAACATCAACATTTATTACACTATTCATAATTTTGTTTACGAATCCTATTTTGTATTTTATTTGGTTTAAAATACGTATACGGTCGAAGAAACTAAACCGTTCCAGAGTGCCGTTCGAGTATAAAAAGAGTCTTGCCAATGAAATTTGAATCAATTCTTCTTATTCTTAATCCTAAAACTCTGATACCAGCGAATTGTACCAAATAAAACATTCAAAATTTGCATCCATTCGGAATCTAGTCAGTGCGTCAACTGTGTTAGACCGACTACATGCGTCTAGCGTTCACCAAGCGAAATTATTTCCGGAAGGGACAAAATGAAAAGGTTTAGACGGGTTATCAACTTCGCGAGACTTGTAACGGTATCTAAAGTTCCACTTTCTTTTAAATAACCAAAAAATTTACTAATTTTACCATAATCCAAACGTTTGAACCATACATTAGAAAGAGTAATGATTTTTTTCCCCAACTGACTAATTAATCCAAAGTACCACCTTTGTGAATGTGACTTGGTATCAAGTCAACCTGATATATGCCGTTCTTCTGGCGTTAATGCAGATCGTTGTCGGCCGTATACATTTTAAAGGTATAGCCTATTTAAACATAACGGCATACAAAATTACAAGACATCCCACCCGGGCTACAAAGTTTGAACCAAATAAAATGATGTCTAATTAAACCAAACTCAAATATTTTAGATTCTTTCGAGGATTAAAAAAGTCTTAATACCCCTATTTTCGATCCTAATAATAACTAAAATTAACTTAATCAGTTCACGATAGTAAACAGAGTTCTGTTTCCATACCACATAGTCGGCGTTGAGTATAACTTTAAAATTTCTTAAATATTTTGTGAGTATGTCGACGAATTTTTTTTAGTTAAGGATTATCAGTTTGCGTAGGTATTTGTAGACTGTGTTGGTAAACAACCGGATAAAGGCTTGCTCTAAAGAATTTCAGCAGACATTTTTTTTTAACCAACATATTCTGAGGTTAAGTATTTAATAGGAGTCATAGGATAGACACCATATAGGAATGAAGTTAAGAGTCCGTACTATAGAATTTCAGACCCTTTATTAAAAGAGTCATCTTGCATAGCATCCGGGTACATGTTCGAGCTTTTCGACCATTGCCCTATACTTCGACAAGAATTGGCAAGTGGAATTACCGTCCAGAAGAGTTAGAGTAGGAAGTAAACATGCAAACAGGCAAGGCTTACATTTTATGAAAGCCAAGTGCTCAAATATACTGACAGCTGCCTCTTATATTAGTGTCCCGGACACTAAAACATAGAAGTGGGCGGACGAATTGGTGAGAACCTGGGTATCTTAACGAATCTGAGGCTTAATTATTTGGATGCGACAAGTCATCTCGGAGTCACACAGGGTGGCTAAGCAACTAAAACCTATAAATAGCTTATCCATAACAGAAGATCTGCTCGAAAGTTTAAGTAAAATCTTTTGAAACTAGTAGATATAATTACAGCACATGGGTCAATGAGAATACATGTCCAACAGATTGAATTCGATCTAAATAGAAATATTCGCAGTTGCTTGGAAAATGAAAAAGAGCATGAAGCACTTTCTTTATGATTGTGACAGTAATTAAAAAAACAACAAGCAATGGAAAAGTTTGAGTTCAAAGAGCCTTCCGAACTGACAGAAATTAGGATCAAATTAATGAGACACTTTAAGCAGATTAATCAGCAGCTCAAAATGGTTCGATCACCAAGAGTGGTCAATAGTTTCCAATCAATCTTACAATCTGTATTTAACTTAACTCTGTTTGATTTTTTTATCATCACAGCACGCTGCCAAATGAGGGTTCACTGCTCTTCAATAGCACAGACGTGCCACTGCTGCCGAAGGTAACGCTACAAATTGTTGATCTCTCACATCAACACGAAACGAACGACGTGCAAATCGGGCAAAATCTAGAACTGCAAATCATTGCTGAATACTCACCACACCAGCAACAGTTAGTCAATTATGTACTGCCGCCTCTGCCCGATTTTCGCGCAACTTCGTTAATCGCCAAAACGCAGGATAATCAAAATTTCGTAAAACTGATCGATGAACGCGGTTGTCCTGTCGATGTAACGGTATTTCCGGCGCTAGAGCGTATACGCTCAACCACACAAAATAAGCTACGCGCACGTTTTCACGCTTTTAAGTTTGCCGGTTCCTCATTGGTGAATTTCGACGTAAAAATACGCTTTTGTATGCAACGTTGTCCAGAGGATAATTGCTATCGCTACAGCAGCACCGATGAGAGCAAAAATTTGAGCAACGCTCCGAACAATCGTGTGAGACGCCGTCGTCAGGTGCAAGAACAGAATGCGCTGCCGCCACTCTCCACGCGCTTCAAAGTACAAAATCCCGTCTACGTCTCGACAGTGATGGATGTCGCTGAAGATCAGATTGAGCAAATGAATTTAACGCGAGATTTAAATGCGAAAAATATGTCTATGCAGGATTTGGGCGTACTACCATTGAACTTTAATTTGCACGTGCGTGGCCCCGATCAAGTCAACAGCAACAGTTTCATTTACGGCGAGCGTGGCATCTTGCTGATTGCAGGCATTGGTGTGTCGGCAATAAAATCAACTTATCGAATTTTGTGATTTAATTTTTCTTTTCATTTCATTTTCTCTAGATCACATGCAATTGGATAACTTTTGCTTGAATCAGAGCCTTCTCATAGCGTTATTGATATTCTGGTTAATCTTTCAAGTCGCCCTAATGTTCAGCTGTTGCTATGTCATACAGAAGTACAAACGTCTGGCGATGATGGATGACGAACACCGCAAGATCAAAGAGAGCTTAGACTACCTTGAAAGTCGGCGCGTGCACTGGGCGGATCAAGGTGGTTACACGCTTTGATTGCGAATATACCTAAATTAAAGCATTTTGTAATTGATTGTAAATAAACCTTGAGTGTAATATTTAATCCCATAGCATATATTTTCTCCTCTGCAATGGCGCTCAAAGTATGTATTCATAATCATCATATCATAAAAATTATAAAATAAAGTTAGCGGAGATACAAATTGAACGGCCAAAATCAGGTCCTGGTATGGAAAACTTAAGTATTTGACAAGATATCTGCACGAAATTCAGTACGGAATATTGTCCAAGGCAACGGCAACAACTCTGAACAAATTGTTCAGATTGAACTACTATAGCTATAAATTGACCGATCAAAATTAAGTGCTTGTATGAAATATTTTGTATTTGTGAAGGGTATTAAGCTTTTTATTGGTTTTTTTTTACAAATATTTGCCTCTATGCATATTTCCCACAACCCAAAAGTTGTTAGAGCACAGCAATTTTAGGTGATGTATAATAATATAATTTTATTATTTGAATATTTTGTTTCAACAGCCAACAGGAAACTAAAATCCAGACTTACGAGCCCCATACTTAATATTAGAAAAGTCCACGCCATCAATCTTTAAGCACTAGCCTCTATAATAAGAGTTTGTGTGTATAGTAAATATAGATTTGTATACTTAGTAAGTATACAGCAACCATTCATGTTTCATCCCATGCAGGTTTCCTTTTTTTTGTTGTAATTCTATGATTTGTATATATTACCTATGCGTATGTATGTACGCAGAAAAATCTCCAATCGCCTAATTATTCATGTAACATAACTGATTTTTAACTGCGCTCTTAGGCGAGCGGCGCATCGGTATCCAAATGGTAGCTACGAACCGGCGAGAACCATAACGGTGGATACTTCGACTGCGTCAATTCAAACTCCGACGAAGTCTCAACTTTATTACGTGTTTGCACTACGGAGTAGTGTACCCAAAGGAGACGTGCATATTTGCGCTTTGTTGTATTTGTTATACGAAATTCAATACAATATTTTGTACAATTTGGCTCTTCGTTGAATATAGCCATGCTACCGCGACGTTGACGCACATATTGATGGTGGTTACTATGTGACTGTTGTTGTTGTTTCCTTAGCATAATTGTTATAGTGTCACCATAGAGTCGATAATGGCCACAGAGCACTTCCGGGCGCAATTGATTAACATTCTTCAGCTTATTCACACCCTGTGCTGGTTCATCGGCACTGGTCATCATGAGCACACGACCATCACCTAAAAATCGTACATAACGATAATATTCCACCAGCTGTACGGGACGATAGTATTGATCCTGAAAGCTATTCTCGCCCATACGCAAATAGGTTGTCTTGCTTATGTAGCAGCCATTAAAGATAATACGCTCACGCATGATGAACATTTGACGCCACGAAGCGTACACAATGGGTGTTGTGTCGGTAGTCTCTGTTAGGTGTTCAGTTGACCGGCTACCGGGTTCACCCAATGAGCCAAGATTAACTCCCCACACTCTGTAAATATATATGCAGTAATTATTTTGTTATAAATAGAGCTTTTAATTTCATGGCTTACTTGGCGCACGCTAAACGCCACAGCTCCTCATCGCGCGCACACAAATATAGTCCCTTGCACACAGAAGCGCATTGCTCCAGTGAAAGCATATCTAACTGCGCCGATACAACCCAACGTAAGATGTACAACAATATTTCCGGCGGTAATTCAGAAATATGTGTTTCCGTGCTAATTACACTCGGGTCTCGGCTGCTTTGCAGTAAACGTCCGTCGGCACTTGCCAAATCCAATTGAAACTTCTCATATAAATCTTCAATGATCTCTTCATTATCTTCGATTTCATCTGCTCTTTCTTTGCTTGCTTGCACGGATTCTAACGAATGAATTCCATCAGAATAATTACTCGAAGTGGCTGATGACTTTTTCTTCTGAAGTTCATAGTATTTGAACTCAATGTCCGGCACGATTTGTACAGCTTTACGGTATAGTGGCACAGCATCATAAACCTTGCCTCGCTGTTCCAGCTCCACGGCACTGCGGAATAGATTTTCTGCCAGCTTATGCTGATCAACATCAGTGACATTATTGGTCAGCTTTTGCTTTTGCTCAACGGTTCTGTTAGGTGTTACAGTTCCACTCTGACTATTCAGTTCACGTTGCCAATTGTCACGAAACTCTTCCAGCTCTGTATGTATGTCGGTAGGAAACGTATGTAATGGCGAATTCATGTCATTCAATTCCGCTACCGGTGGGGAAACAGTCGACAGTTGTCGGCTCACATTGTCCTCTTCTCCACCAAGTAATGGCACCGGTTTCGACATGATTATTTCTGCACAAATAAGCAAATATCACTCAATGAAAATAAATAACTAATCAAGCAACATGTTCAATTGTACAAGTTTTACATACCTTATCGGTGGACGCTAAGAAAAAGATAAAATCTGCTTACGCACCGTCGATTAGGTTGTTAAATTATGCGGGTACCAATACAAATATAAAAGTTGTTTGCACACTATTTTGTATTAATGTTTTGCTTAACACTTTTATTTTTGTTAAATATTAAATTATGGCGTTCGAAATGCTCGAACAAAAGTTGCGCTTACAATTTAGGCGTGTTCGGCTAGTTCACGGTCGCTGTATCGTATGATGAAGGGTCGAGAGTATTGTTGGCACACTGCGGACACCAGGAGCCGGCGGCACTTCAACTTAAATTGTAAAATTTCGGAGGCAGCAGCGGCTACGATATTTGACACGTTGGAAAACTTGGCGGTGAAGAGATATAGATCCGGCGACACTTTAGGCGTAATCACAAAGCAATTGGCCATTATAGGCTGCGGGCAATCAATGTCAAGGTCAAAAGATACACAACACTTCACTTTTAAATACAGCCCACTTTCTTCAAAGCTAATTTCCTGTTTTTCTTAAGCACCAAATCTTAGTTTACTTTTTAAGAACAATACACTGCAGTTTCTTAAATGTTTAAAAGATGTTTCTATATTTTATTAAGCAATACTTTAATAATTAAATAATTTTTTGTCAGAACTTCGGTCTTTTTCACCTGCGCTTTCCAAATGCGCATTTGCAATTTTCACTATTAGGTACGTATAGGTACATGCATATACTCGGTTTCTTGTGTGCCTTCCGCTGTGTTTCCAATCGTCTAAACTTCGTATTGAGTTCTTAAGGATTCCCACACTTTACAATTATTGCACTTGTATTTTATGAGCGGTCAACTGTTCTCCGTTTATTGCTGCATCCATTGTACAGAATTTTCTTACACTCTTTTCGGGAATGCGATTACATCAAAATGGCTATATACGGTGTGATCAAAACAAAACAACAAATATATTGACGTCGACAAGTTTGGAAACAGCTGACAGCGCTGATTGTTGCGCGAAAAGCCGACAGTGACTACATTTTCGGGGAAATTAAAAAATGTCTTTACATTTCGTTCAAGTCATGGATAAAATTTATCTATGGTTCAAGTTCTTCTCATATACATACACATAATATGTGCATCAACTAATTGTGCTATCCATAAAAAAATCCAATAAGATTTTTTTTCAATTTAAATTGAATATAAAAAAATTAGTCTTCATAAAATTTACAAAACAATTCTTTAAAATTAAAAAATAACTATTAAGAATATAGCGACATATAAGAGAATGTCCTATTGGCACTTCTCTTAAAGTGTGTAAATCACGGTAACCCTATTTGTTGCTTTTGTTTCTCTGTTGTGGATTTGTATTTTTACCCGGCGCTCCGAATTCGCATAAAATTGCACTTCGCAATGGCAACCGAGCCAGAACCGTCAACTTCCAAAAAAATTAGTGAAATACGCCAAGCTTTGATAATTGTAAAATGGGGCGGCAAAGAATACCCAATTACAGATTTAACCGATCAGGATACTGTGGCTGTGCTGCGCCATGAAATCTTTAAACTCACACAGGTGCGACCGGAGCGGCAAAAATTGATAAATCTTAAGTATAAAGGTAGGTTAAACACCGTCGTATCCGTTATGCATTATGCATCAAAAATATAACATATAACGGTTTGTAATTATTATGCAGGAGGCAATGTAGCGCCTGATGATACCAAAATTTGTGAACTGGAGTTGAAACCCAACTTCAAACTAATGATGGTAGGCTCGACTGAGGCTGCTATAGAAATTGCATGTCAACTGCCAGATGATATTGCCGAGGTGATAGATGATTTTGATGTAGCCGAAGAAGAGGACTTGGTAGAGAAATCACCCGTTTACTTGGCGAAAGTACAACGACGCGTTAGAGAATATAAAATTAATGAGTTAAACCCGCCAAGGGAAGGGAAACGTTTGCTGGTACTTGATATTGATTACACCTTATTCGACCATCGGTCTCCCGCCGAAAATGCGTCGGAGTTAATGCGACCATATTTACATGAATTTCTGGAATCTAGTTACCAAAATTATGATATTGTTATTTGGTCGGCAACTGGTATGCGGTGGATTGGGGAAAAAATGAAATTGCTGGGTGTAAGCAATAATCCTAATTACAAAATAATGTTCTACTTGGACTCTACTGCCATGATTTCGGTATATACGATTGAACGTGGTGTCGTAGATGTGAAACCGCTCGGTTTAATTTGGGGCCAATATCCGCAATATAGTGCCAAAAATACCATTATGTTCGATGATATACAACGTAACTTTCTAATGAATCCGCGTTCGGGTTTACGTGTACGACCCTTCCGCCAGGCACACATAAGTCGACATACTGACAAAGAGCTTGTAAAGCTTTCGAAGTACCTGCGCGATATTGCAAATGATTGCGACGACTTTACTAAACTGAATCATCGCAGATGGCAGCATTACGATCATCGTAAACACCGATAATAGAAGGCAAAAGAAAATAAGAACAGCAGCCAGGTTTTTTTGAAAATCCTAATGTAGGTTACTACAGAAAATGGATGTTTGATTGATGCTAAGCTCTTCAGCTCAGCACAGCTAAGCATTATTTATAATAAAATTTCCGGCGTATTTAAACATCAGCTTAGCAACGAAGTTTTCACTTTTCATTTACTCACAGATAATTTTAATTAATTAAGATATAACTGGCATAATGCATTTAAATTCGTTTTGTGATTTTCTTAATGAGCTCGGTAAACTACAAACTGCTAGTAATTAAATTTATTAAATATATGTATGTATATGGTAAACGTAATATATGTATGTAAGTATGTGTAAACGTCTATTTTTTGTGCAAACGGTTGTAAAATTTTAATATAGTAATAATAAAAAAGAGAAATGAGAAATACAAATTTAAAACAGCTAACATAAATAAAAGCTTTTTTAGTTGCTAATTGAAATATATAATTATAAAATAAAGTCAATGTTTCATAAACAATGAGTTGTTTGGTTTTTATACCCTCAACACGGTATATTAAATTTGTCACGAAGTTTGTAACATCCGCGAAGAAACGCATAAAACCATCTACATATATATAAATGATCACCATGGCGATCTGGGTCGATTTAGCCATGTCTGTTTGCACTCGTCTTATTGTTGTTGCTGTAATGGCAGAACACATTCATACAATAATTTTGTAGAAAACCAGTGATATATCTACAAGAGCATATTTTTTAATCATAACATTACATGTAATTATTGTTATGAAATTACAGTAATTTATAATGGCAACAGTTGTAGTGATTTGTTGGAAAAAAAAAATCTGCAAAAAAACTAGGCCGCCCTTAAGAACTCCGGGCACGGGAGGAATTGTCCCCAATCTCCTCCCTCTCTCCAACACTGGATCTCGGTCGTCTTGAGAACAATCCCTCAGCGTCCCGGAAATATAAACGTTATATAATCAAATAAAAAGCATGAATTTTCAGTTTCTCGTCTCTTATTACCACTTCTTTACATAGTCTTCGTGCATTACTTTCTTCATTTATTTATTAGTTTAGCATTTTGAAAATTATTATAACTTTTTGCTTTAAAACTAAGATAATAAGTTTATTATAAAAAAAAAAAAAACTATAAAATAAAACTATTTAATTTCATAAATTAACTATACATATACTATATACCTTACAAATTAAATACTAGTAAATACATTACTTTAAAGTTAAGATTATCTTCCCGAAATTGCTTTATGTGTGTGCAAACACTTTTTAATAAATAAATCGGTTTTAAATGTGTTAAGAGTAGCAGAAATAAAAAATATTAATTCGAAAGTTGTTAATTTTATTTGATTTGAAATAGATTATTAAAATTGACAAGCTTCGCTTTGTTCCTAAAACTAACTCGCTGAGAGAAACCTATTATCTAATCATTTCTGAAATTACTGTTACTTTATGCTTAAATTTTATGCTACTAATATCTTTACTCAAATTGCTGCTGGTTATAATTTAAAACTTTCAACTGGTAAATAAGCTTTTTGTTTGCTTGTTTGTTTTTCTTTTTTCTCTTTTAAAAGGTCCTGCGTTCGTTGTAACAACGTGGACTAATATACATAGTATTTATATGTACATATATGTATTCTATACGTATGCACGTAGAGGGTGTTTATAAGATTTTTAATATTTGTAATTGAAGTAGTTTCACTTTGTAAACGCATCTAGGTACATACTTTCGTAATTTAACGTTTCAATAGTTTCATTGTTATATGTCGTCAGACCTAAATACGGGTACTTTAGTTAGTTTAATTGTAAGCTTAATCTAACGAATTCACAAATAAAATCAAGCAATTCGCGAGTTATTAGGATCCACAGTGAGTTCTACGAGTCGCATCACGAATTGACTTCGAAGCCAACTTATTGTTCGGCTTGTACATTTACACGTTCGTAACGCATTTTGTCTGGTGTATCCCAACAGCATTTAAGGCATGTAAATACCAAAACGTTGCCATATTCTATGGGTGCCGGTTCACTGTTTTGGGCCAAACGCAACTTTGGTATGAGTGTAGAGAGAATTTGGATCTCACATATGGTTTCGCCATTGCAGTTGACGCACTTTGGTATTGGTTCGGATAGTGGACCCATCAAGAGGGGTAGTGTATCACGTGTGTACCTTCAAAATATGCTAAATATTTAAAGAAATGTTAATTCACAACTAATACGTTAAATACCTTATGATTTGCCCTGGGTTCTCCTGTATGACACTTACGAATTGATGGAAAATTATATCACCATGTGCTGGCAAAGCTTTTTCATAAGCCTCTTGATCATCACCGGCAGCACCAACACCACCACCAATCGCGCCAGCGCCATTCGGAGAATGTGCCGCCTCATCCTGCCGCTTATACTCCTGATATAGCTCACGTATGTGATCCGCTGATAGCGCGCCAAAAAAGTTTTCATATTCACCACGTTTATGGCGCTGCTCCATATCTACTGCGATGAAGAATGGTTTTATAGTGACATCGGAAATTTTAGCGAGTGGACCTAGCGCCGCTGGCGTTGCAGTGTGTTTCAAAAGTGCAATCAAGTCACGTTCAGGCTTTACTGGTGTCTCCACCAGCACTACATCCGTTTCGGCGCCTTCGATCTCGGCGCAGATGGTAGCAGTAGCGCCGCCGAAACCCATCATCGCCCCGCCTTCCAAAGCAGCCGCGGCTGCCGCATTGCCAGCAGCACAATTGGCATTGGGATCCTCAACAGCATTTTGTGGCGAATGCATATCGAGTTGACCGAAGCCGTAAACCAGTTCGTTATCCATTGAGTTGCTCTCGTCGTCATCCTCATCCTCATCGGCATCACTATTACCCGAGTCGGTGGCACATGGTAAGTGCACAGCACGCGTGGGCGAGTTATCATTCTTGCCAACCACATTGCCGTTTTCTTCATTCTGATGTTGTAATTCATCAGCACCTGTATCCATACGTTCAACACCACTGTCTGCCACTGTGCTACTCTCTTCTAAAGTTTCACCCCAGTCATCTGCACCACTGCACCATGCAATTTTTTGCGGTTGCATTGCATTTGCCGCCTGTTTATAGTTCTTCTTTTTCTTTCCACTACCTCCACCGGGTGTTAGAGGTGGAGGCACTGCATTAATTAATTCTGCCTCACTTGGTGTGTCCAAATGCTGAGTACGTATGCACAGCCAACTCTTAGAATCTTGAGAACAAGCCGGATTCAAACATGCAAATACATATAAGGTGCGGTGAAATTTGGACTGCTCCAAGGGCGCATAAAGTTGTACGATCAACGGACGTGCTGTGCCACAGAGCGGACACGAAGGCACTTTTATCTCACCAGTGGGCCAGTCCTGTACGAAGGACATGAAAACATTGAAAAGTATATAAGTATATTGGTAATAAAGAAAAATCAATTTTAATCAACTCTTCAATAGATGCGTCAGCATTGCGCATCATTGCACTTCACGCGGCGACAAAACGGAAATCGCAATGCAAGTGATACAAATCTGTATTACTTTAACAAACTTTTTTAATATAACAGGTTCTAATTTAATCATGCTAGCATAATACTTACCGGTGTCCCTCCGACTTTGTTTACCGTGCTATTTAATATGGATGCATGTTTGCTGGTAATTTCCTCATCCTCAAAGCCAAGGTAGACAGTACTTTTGTTTTTTGCCATCTTTTCCCTTTTTTTTTATAGTTTGCGATTTTATAATTCACTTAAATTTATAAATAAGCCTTGTAAATGATATTGCATTAAGTCTCTGAATGTTTGTGGGTAAAGGATACGTGTTTAATTGGTAGGACTAATGATATTGAGTTGCTTGTTTCCAGTTTTTGCAGCAAATGTAGGCGAGAAAAACACGAGTGGATAAATCGACAATGTGATCCTAAAAGTATGCCAGTATTCAGTAGTATATTCGATATGTAAGTGCGTAAACTGGCAGTGTTCACTGTTGAGTGTGATCACTCTCTGTTAGTAATCGATTACATGCGAATATTACTCTTATAACAACAGGTATTTAGTTACTTCTAGCCTTACTTAAACTAATCTGATTTATTAATTTTTCTAACAATATGTTTCTGTAAATTTCAACCAATGTAATTGGATTTCTAAATTATTTTCCACATCAAATTTCACTAATGTATATACCAATATTTTATACAATGAACGTAGACATTGTCTGATAAATGACATTTCCAATTTGACAAATTTCTTATTGTGAGTGTGTGTGTTGTGCACGTCAGAAATTATCCGTTTGTGCTTACACATCAAATGGCAGTCGCGTAAATAAATAACAATTTTAGAAAATTTAATGTGAGTAAAAGTTAACAAAACATAACGAAAAGTGTGTGCTAACCATTGAAGTTCAGTTTCCCCCTAAACGCCCCGTTAAAAGCATAAGCAAAAACCAGGCATATCAAAGTGTGTTGCAGTAATATAAACCCTTATCTCGTTGGCCGACGCGAGACCCGCCCAGTTTCCAATCGATGATTTTTGCACCTGCAGTCGTTGCAAACAATGAGCACATCATCAACGCTTGCATCATCGCATTAATGTTTTCATTTGCATTCTAAATTCGTTGCAGTGTAAATTACTTTGCAAAATGACGGAAAAGATCACATTGGCCGATGCGCTATCCAATGTGGAAGTACTCGATGAGCTGTCGCTGCCCGATGAGCAGCCTTGTATTGAGGCGCAACCATGTTCAATAATTTATAAAGCCAATTTTGATACGAACTTTGAAGATCGCAATGGATTTGTAACGGGTATAGCTAAATATATTGAAGAAGCCACAACGCATGCTAATCTGGTGAGTAATATACATATGCACTAACTATTGTGCTCAAAAATAAAATTGTATCAAATTTTTTTACAGAACGTTCTGCTTGAAGAGGGACAGAAACATGCTGTCATGCTTTATACTTGGCGCTGCTGCTCGCGTGCAATACCTCAACCGAAATCCAATGAGCAACCCAATCGTGTGGAAATATATGAAAAAACGGTCGAGGTATTGGCACCGGAAGTAAACAAATTACTTAATTTCATGTACTTCCAAGTGGGTAAATAAACACAATACCTCAAGAACTCTATAATAAATATACCCTTTTTAATTCACAGCGTAAAGCCATTGAAGCATTTTCAGGCGAGGTAAAGCGT